GGGAAAGTGTGTAGTTAAAGAGTGTGAGAAAGAGCCCTGAATGGAACACTTGGAGGGCATTTTAACTTCAAGTATGCAAGGAATATGGGCAGCTTTATCTTGGCATATTAATACCGTGTTTTCCCGAAAAGAAGACCCTGTCTTATATTTTTTTGAACCCTGAAATAAGCGCTTGGCTTTATTGCCATGTGCTCAAAAACCTGATTGGGCTTATTATCAGGGGATGTCTTATTTTGGGGGAAACAGGGTATGATTTGAAGGAGAAAAATAAGCTTCCATTTCAAGACAGTGTCATTTGTTTAGGTCTGGAATTAAAAGTATTGCATAAAAGCTTTGTTTGGACAGTGACAGTATTTCTGTTCTCTGAAAATGCTTTGTTTACGGAATAGACCATGCTTGTTTGGGTTCATATAAATGAGGTCATTTCCCTACTTGTGACTTTAAACTGCTGTTGTGCCAAAATTTGAGTAGTAAGAACAGGCTTTATATTGATTCAACAATAGTTGGGTGATGTTATAAAAACACTGTAAATCATTAGTGAGGAAATGGCCCGAGTCAAACATAGGCTTGTTTGGTTTTCATTAGCATGTCTATCTGGGCTCACAACAGGCAGGCAGCCTTTAAAAGCTCCCTTCGTAGTTTGACATGGGTGCTCAAAGTGTTGGGAGTGCCCTTTTGGATCTTCTTCATCAGGTCTGAATCTCCCTCCCCCCCCCGTGCTTGCTTCTTGAATGTGCTAAGAAAAGGCCATGCAAAGATTATTCCTGGGGTACACTCTAATTACAATTACACCTACAGCAATATTGTGCCAGAGAGTAGAGCATAAACCTTCTTTCAGTGGTGGGATTCAAAATGGTGCTGTGGGTGTGGCTTGGTGGGGGTGGCAGGGGAAGGATACTGTAAAATCTCCATTCCCACCCCACTCCAGGGGAAGGTTTCTGCCAATTCCCCATTTCCTCCCAATCAACTGGGACTCGGGAGGCAGAGGGGGCGGGGCCACTCAGAGGTAGTATTTACGATTGTCCGAACTACTCAAAATTTCCGCTACAGGTTCTCCAGAACTGGTCAGAACCATCTCTGCCTTCTTTCCAGAACAGATGAGATTGTAGTGGTGTCCGTGGAAGGAATTTGGTGAGGGGAAAGGAGAAAAAGGGAATCACAGGGCATGATAGTGCCATCATGATCACTTATGACAGGCCATATGGGAAGCTTCTGAGAATCTTACAAGATAAATAAAGACCATCACTAAATTAATTCTGTATAGAAGCCAATAGACTAGATTTATTGGAGCACAACTGAAGGAAGTTGTGTAATCAATTAGACTGATATTTTTGCATTTTCACGTTTCTCATTGTTTTGCAAACTGGACTCCTTCAACAAATAGAGGGTCCAGCTACTACTGTATTTCTAAGGTAGAATGCACACAGTAACAACTTTCCTCAGCAGTAACAATAGAAAATTGGCAGGATTTCTATGGCTTGGCATTTGGCCAAAGGTCAAAGTGAGTGTTAGAATGGCTGTTGCTGTGAACCTATTTCCTTTCTCTTCCTTATAACAAGGTGTGGCATGCAATCCTTAGACAATGCTTTTGCCCTGCCCCCACTCCACCGCAAACTATGTTAAGGAGGGATCAGGTGGCATACAATGCAGTGACATTACACCCAATTGTTTAAGTTTTTAATTTCCTCATAAAAAATGAGGAAAATAGAGAGATGAGATGCAAAATCATGAGCCACTCCCAGCGTCTTTTAAAAAATAGTTTGGCCTTGTAATGCCAAACCAGTGCTTGCAAAACAACAACTCCGGCCAACTTTTAATTACTATGCATAGCAAGTAGGTCAGGTTTGCATCTTATTTGGGTAACAAATCATTTTCCTACATAACTGGTAAAGGAACAGCGGCTGATCTGAATTAGGATTATGAAAAACTATGGATGACCAGCATATTTTAAACAAGGAAATTGCAAGTTATAGATTCCTGGAAATCAAATTTAGGTTTGCAAAATCATACCTCTTCTGAGTGTATAAATGGGATTATCTTTTAAATTCTACAGAAAAGGACCTGAAACATACATTTTGGGCAACCGTTAAGTCTTGCTGAAGGCATGTTCAAAATCCCTCTCCTAGCTGATTCTTAGGAAATATAAGACAAATCATTTGCTTGTGGTAATTGCTGATTTAATAAAAATTCAGTTTTTGAGTATGTGGGTGGAAAGAATTTATCTTGATATGAATCCCAAGGCGAGATTTCAATGAAATCACAAAATTATAACCAAGATCAAAACCAAACTTAAATCCCACAACTTTCAATCTTAATTCTTAAAGAGATCATTGTTAAAATAAGTTACCTAGGAAATTCAACCAAACTTCCCCCCCACAATTGTTGGTTATTTTTTCTTAATTTTTCTTTCCTTTTTTTTAAAAAAAAAATAATGCTTGGAACATGATCTTTACAGAGCCATTGTTAACTTGGAGGTGCCCTAAGTGACATGTAACACCTTTGTGACATAAAGTTACACCCAGACAAGTTTGAAAACAAGAAAGTGAAAGCTCTAAATATAAGGTTTATATATTTGGCACTTCTAGCTTGCCATGTGATTTCTCGTTTAAATTTCAAATGCCTTGAAATGTGATATATAGTCTCGTCAAAATTACATTGTTCATGATGGAAAACCATCCCATTTTGGGCACCTATTTTTGATGGATGTGAAAGAGTAAGATTCTCTGGATGCTCATTCTGATGAAGGGAGGAAACCTAAAAACACGATGACATCTAATTTTATTTGTACAAACATAACCAAGAATGTTTTTAGTTTGATGTTCTTCATCTAGAGTTGTCGGCATAGGAATTGATATTCTATAGAATTGAGGACTCTAATCTTGTGTCTGTTTAATAATGAAAAAAGAACATTTCTGGATCTGAAAAGATTCACAAGCAGGACAGGAATTCAAGTCTTCTCATGTTGCCTTATCCTGAAGGGAGTCATTATGATGAATAATCATTATCTTCCACCATTTGTTAGAGTTGTCCACTGTGTTTCTTCTAATACCCGTTACTACCTAATATCTAGACTAAAAAAATATTGATGACCACACGATGGCAATAAAAGATTGCAATTGTCTCCCGTTGCTGCTACTTAGTGGTATTCTAGATTTCTGCAGCCAAAGTAATATCAAAATTCTGCATTTGTTTGAATTTGTAGCTTTTTCAACTAGGGCCAACTTAGTGCTTGATCATACAGTTCACCTTGGACTAGCTTTTCATCCTAACATTATGAGTGGAACGCCTTTCCCAATGTAAGTGCTTTTATTCCACTGTCCTTCACCCCATCTAATAGACACCCCCCCAAAAAACAAGTTTTTCAAATGCTCACCTGCTTCCTTCCACAAAAACATTTGTTAAGAAACCTGTGCGGAAAAGTAGAGGGAGTATTTATTTGATTTGCTAATGCTGCCAAACTCAGAAAGAAGTATCAACATCCTTCAGGATATACACATTTTCCTCCCCATATTCATACTTACATACTAGCCCTTTCCTCATTATCTGGTTTCTAATTTAACAAGCCTTTGAACATATGCTGCTGATTTTACCAAATTTTCATGGAACCCTGTTTCTAATACACTGATCTGTAACCATCTAATTAATGCTAGTTGTGTGGTGGAAAGAAAAATGTCTTACCTAAATCCAGATGAAATTACAAATTTGCTTGATCATAGTCTATATAAGATAAAAAATATTCAAGAAAACTGAGGGATATTATATTCTGCATTAAAAGCAAAAGCAAAACATTCAATATATTTTACATCAATAAGGCTAGAAATCATTTCTGAACTGACTTTTTCTTAAATGACAACTTTTTTCTGGGCTAAAACCCAATGGCCATATAGCCTGATTTTGTTTCTTCACTTGAAATTATCCTATTTCAGTTTAGTGAAGGTGTTGAAGGTAAAGCTGTTGAAATGATCCTTTCAAGATCAACTTCTTCAGATTTTCTGAGGAGCTTTGGAGTTCTCCAAAGAATGGGAAATTACTCCCGAGATGTATTTTTGCTGCAGCACTTACATCAATTCTGAAAGGGTGTGGAATATTTTGACATCAAGTTTCAAATGTTCTAAACTCGAACTTACGTCGAAGTTGGGACAAAATAGTTTTATTTGGATTTTGGTATAAATTCAATTGTTTCAAATGGTGGCAATTTTATGCTCCAGTCATAGAACGCAGCAGGAAGCTTCAAGTAGTCCAGTTTCTAGAAATGTTTCAAAAATCTTCTTGAAAGGTTGGGAAAAAAAAAAAACTGAGTGGTTTTGAGTTTTGTTTTGAAAGATCAGAACTTTCTTAAATAAAACAGGTTTTGTTTCATTCTTTCTAATTTTAACATAGGGATCCAACATTTTTGATTTGGTCAACCAGACCTCCATTTATTGCTTTTGAGCAGGCTCACTAAACCACCTTATTTTTAGTGGTCTCAGATCCGACTCTGCTCTTCCACAAAAACCTGTGTTTAAAAACTCAATGGAATGTGATGTATCTTATGCTACTTTTTATAACATTTTGTAGAAAAGATGAGTGATAGATTTTGGTATGTTCCCACCATGGGAACTCATTCTTACAACTAGAATTATGAGAAAGATGTCACAATGAAGAAACATTTCTTTAGAATTGGGGTAGGATTTCTTTCTCATAGAAATAAGCAAGAACACATGCTTAATTATGCCAAAGCAACCCTGAGCAAGATTTCCTAGAAGTTAAGTTCTGAATGCTCCGGGCCTTTACCTGAACAAAACTATATACCCCAAGTGATATGCTTTGTTCTGAATTACTGGTATGTCTATAATTAAAAATAAGTTTTTTGTTAGGATGTGACTAAGTGCCTTAGTGGACAGCTGACTTTTTTATTTTAAAAATTTCAAGTTAAGTAGCTATACACGTCTTGATAAAACTATTAGATTAAATGCACTTGTATCTATTAGAAAAGAATGATAATAATAATAAATAAATGATTGATGCTGTCAATAACTTTATGGAGTGTATAAAATTATATTTTCCTTGATCTAAACAATAACAAAAATGTACTTGTGGCATGAATATATACAACACAGGTCCTGACATATATTTAAATTATCTTAGCCAGCAGTGCTGAGTTCAATTTTTTTTTAAATGGAGAAAATATAATAAATAAAAATGTTAAATATTTACATTAAACGAATATGTGGAATCAGTAGATGAACACATATATCCAATTTTCACAGAGAGAAAAAAGGAAAATTAGCCTTGTGTGATTTCTTTACTCTCCCCCTCAAATTAACATTATTTGTGAAACAAATATTAACATCCCTAGATCACTGAAGATAAATTATATGCATACTGAGATGATCTGCTGACATTTAATGGTACATACATGATTTGATTCCCATACAGACTTCTCAGACTGAAATTTAGAAGTTGGGAATCATACTAATAGATCTTTGGGCTTTTTAACCTCTGTGTGATGGTTTATTCTGAAGTGGTCACAATTCTTCCTCTAAAAGGGTACTTACCTATATCATTTCTCATACATTTCATTGTTTCAAGGGGTGATTTGGGGCTGTGACCATCATAATCACAAAAGCTGTTTCCCTCCCCAAAATGCAAATGTTTCCTAGCTGCAGATACGATGCAATGTCCTTATACTTTTTTCTAATTACGTTCATCAAAGAGGAATGAGTTTCATTTGAGATTCCTGACCTGATATCTTCAGACTTCCATCCACAATTTCATAGTGGAACTTGAAGTCTATGCTAGGTTGTGGAACAGTAATTTATATTAAGCTGCTCCACTTCTGCAATTTATGAATTATCCAGTCAGTACATCAGGACTATCTTTGCGTTTTCGATGCATATAAACAGCTACAGCTGTACCAAAGTTGTATTAACTAAGAAAATCTTAGATATGAAACTCTTTGTGAACAAGTAACTTAAGGTCTAGTCTTTCCTTCTAAAACACCTGAATAGCTAACATTGCCTTCTCCAAGCTGGGATCATTCAAATGAGTTGGTTTAAAAATAGTACAATCTCCATCCAGCAATATGGAACTTGAAGCGCAACACATCCAACGCTTTACCAGTTTGGTAAAGTTGGGTATAATACACCCAAAATATTTTAGACAGTCCTGTTTTCCAGAAAGGTTTTTCTAAAAGGTTTAGGAATACCTTCTTCCAGTAAAGTATTGACTGAAGTTTCAATGTGTAAATATATTGAGTAATCTTTTATGTTCAAATAATAATGAACAGATATGGCTAAAAAAGCAAAATGAAATATAACACAGTAAATTGGGACCATGGAAGTTGCAATCCAAACTTACTCAATGAAATAAGTTCCATTAATTTGACAAAGTTAGCTGTATTTCCAAGAAAATGCAATGAGGATGGAGGTATGGAGAAGTGTGCAATTCACCTATTTAACCAGATTAAATCGTTGAAGTGATTGATGTCCTCACTTCACTGACACTTTTCTTTAACAGATACTACATAATGGTGGCCCTTAATGCATAAAAATACTGCAACCCTGTAACCTTTGTGATACTGATTTTTGATACAGCGTATAAAGAGGTTTTCCATCAAGCCTGAAAAAAATATGTGAAAAATATGACATCCATTTAAATCAGAAGTGGAGTGGGGCTTTTTAGATTTAGAGTATTAAAAAGGGAGTTTTGTGTAATACTGAACTAACAGAGAAGGCCCATTTGCCTTATCTGGAAGCTGGTTCTGTAATTAATCAATTTTCAAAGAAATGATGGAGGAATAAACTGCCCAAACCAGCATAAGGAAATACTTAAGGCAGATGGTGTCACTTAAAAAGGAGCAGAATGTAGGCTCAGAGGATAACTAAGTTTTCAACTGGAAAGTCCCCTTTACCATACTCATTCGTCTTCTTACAAATGCCATGGCAGCCCATATTAGTTACACCCTTATAATTTCTGTTAAGAGACTGAATTATTTTATACTTAAAGTCATGTTGAATTTAATTTAGACAGTCTAAACCATTAGTGGAGAAATCATAATTTGTATTAATCTATCCCTGATTTAAAAATAATATTACCAACCCAGACCTGCATCTCTTTATGGTTTTCAAGAAATTAAAGAGTTTAAATGAAGACATTTTGTTGCATCTACATTGAATTTGTTGGATACAATCAGCGACCCATAGTCTTTTTTCCCCCTCTGTAGCTTATAATACATATGCTGTTGCTGCCCCATAACCCGCAATGCCCTATGCTTGACGTAGCCCCTTTATCTTGTAAATATTTTTGGAATGCCCCTAGATAAAATGAACTCAACGGAGGAAGTTTTTGGTGAAGGGGGAAAGGTGGGGTTGTCTACTCCTTTCACCTTCGGATATCAGAGAAGTCAGAAGGTTCATCTCTCTGTTCAAAGGTCTCATGAGTTGCTTTGGAATTATGACCCCCAGATTTAGTGCGAGTGTGAGCATTCATAGGCATCCTGCTACCTCTTTCCCCTCTAGGATTTTGAGAATTCTCTCTGGTACCAGACTGAGGGTGAATTACAAGGTTTCCTTGGCCAGTGGATATTCTTGAGACTTCATTTGGCTTTTTTTCAGATTCCAGGGTAGACTCTCCATGTGGAACCACAGTACAGAGGCTTAGGATGGAGCACAGACTCCCCCAATTCTGCTCACACTGGGCCTGGACACTCTGGGTGATGGCCTCTTTGACTTCTTCTCCACAAGTGAGCAGTATATTCACCAGATCAACATACGGTCTGAGGGGAAAAAAAGATATAAAGTTATGGAAGAGTAGCAGATGCACTCAAATTGGCTGCAAATCAGTAGCTATGTATTTATTATTTTATCCATTAGACTGATATATTTTATTTTCATTAGGAGTTGAATATTTCTGTCTCTGACACACACACGCTCCAATTTTATCTACATTCTCAGTTTTCTCCCATAGCAACAAGATTCTGATCCCCCCATTGCAGTTTGATTTGCTATTTCTAAACATTTCTGGGAAATCACTATCTCAATAGAATATATCAACCTAATGAATATCCAGTAAGTTTGAATGAATCTTTAAAATCCATGACTGCTTTCACTGAAGAAACTAGAATTACAAATGAGGGAACACTACAGGATGTGCAAAACAGAAAATATGTCTTGTCAGAAACAGAGTAAACTATCATGTTCTAGAATTCTGGTCAACCATTTCATATTGGATGCAGATCAGCAGGAAAACAAAACCAAGGATTCTTGCATTGTTCTTGAAGATCTGTCATGATTATGGGAGTCAAATAGGGTAGGATTGACATAAAACACCCACTTTTTCCTTGTATACTGATCTTCCTGCTCCATCTTCCCAGACCCTTCTGCTACCTCCTTCATTAGCCAATGCCAATGTCCCAATCCAGAATATCCCACTATATCTTTCTTCACATCTCTCCAGCCTCTTCCTGTCCTTGCCTCAGCTGACACCAATGTATTGGCCTCTTCCTTAGTGCAATGGTCTTGGGAGTAAAGAACAGATTTCAAGCATGATATACCTCACCCAGCCTGATCTTCCCACTATCTTTTTACTTTCCTCCCCCTGCCTCAGCTATCTGCAAGTGCTGAATCTTGTTTCTCATGCTTGCTCCACTTTTCCACTTTTCCACTTGCTCCACACTTCTGCCCAGGACAAGTACATTTTGGTCCATATGCTCATCAAAGCAGCCCTATTCTGTTTTGTAAGTGGATTAAAGCATCCAAATGGCAACTTTCAATTTGGTCCATGGACCATCCAAAACATCAAATGTTTGCATATCTCTAGAAGAAAATACAGTATAAACTTCCTACAAAAAACAAACAAACAGTAAGATATCACCACCTACTAATCAATTATGTATCTATCATTATCTGTAGTAATTACTAGTGAAAAGGTAATTGTTTCTCAAAATACTTTACAACTGGATGTAATAACCTTCCTTATTCTGATATCCTATAATGTGCTGGCTGCAACTCCAACAATTCCCAATTAGTATGACTAAGAGTTATATAAAATCAGAGTTGGTAAGTTTTCCAGAGGGCTCCATCACTGCCCAAGATGAGATTTCTCAGATGTATTCTTGACTTTACTAACTAATTCGTGCATTTAATAGAAGAATCACTAACTCTCTTTTTCTTTTGAGTTACTTTTTGTTTCCTGCTTCAGCATTAGCAACCAAGCAGCAAGGCTCCCTTGGATACAGCACATATAGTAACCAATTATTAAGAGTCTTTGCTCTGCTGGTTTACAGAGGCATCCTGTGTTTTGGGATAATTGTTCTTTTCCTTACTGTCATTAATTAGATCTACAAGATACTACTCCACCTCTGCAAAGTTGGAAACTTTTTGTATGATTCTACACATTAAATGGGTAGTATACTTTAAATTTCAGTAAATAGACGTGACAGGTAATCCCATCATCACCTTTAGGTCATTGTATCTGCTGCAGAATCTTTTAACTTAATGGAGGTGTTCTGTTTAACTTTAGATTTTATATTGGCAAGAACATTATAATAATCAAGGTCTTTTTTTGCCCACAAATCTCAGACTTTTCAGTGCTGGGGAATTTGCTGAGTTACTGGTTTTGAGATGAATGACAGAAACTGAATACATTCCAATATTGAGTCTCTTCCTAGAATTATGGTTCACAAATCTTGCTAATTATCTTCCAAGTCCACATAATACTGGATGACAACATCAGCCATATAATTGCATGATTCTTCAATATAAGACCACATTTTTCATTAATCTAAGACATAGCAGTTAAACATATGATAAACAGCCAGTAATTTATGTTATTAGTTTCCACTACTCTTCAAATATTTAATGTATGAGCACCATGCCTAATAAGGTATTTGAAATACTTTTATATAACGCTATGAACAACCACTACAGAAAAATATAAAGACTATAGGTAGTCTTGACTTAAGACAACAATTGAGCCCAAAATTTCTGTTGCTAAGCAAAACAGTTGTGAAGTGAGTTTTGCCCCATTTTGTCTTTCTTGCCACAGCTGTTAAGTGAATCACTGAAGTTAGTTGTTAAATTAATAACACAGTTGTTAAGTTAATTTAGCTTCCCTACTGCTTGTCAGGTCACCAAATGTGATCACATGACCCCAGGACACTGCAACTGTCAAAAATATATGCCAGTTGCCAAATGTCTGAATTTTGATCATGTGATTGTGGAGATGCTGCAATGGTTGTTAAGTGTGAAAAATAGTCGTAAGTCCCTTTTTCCAGTGCTGGTGTTAACTCTGAATGGTCACTAAATGAATGGTTGTAAGTCGAGAACTATTGGTGGTATAGAAGTCAGTCTCAATTGGCCTATTTTGAATTTGTAGTTTAAGGTAGCGATTAGTGAAAATTTTGGATTGATACACACACACACACACACACACACACACACACACACACATTTGATTTCTTCTTTTGTCATAGGTTTTTGTGTGTATTTTTCTTCAACCGGGTATTTTCCTACGTAACCAAGTTTGCAGCTTGGTTTCACTGAGCTATGGTTGCGTAGGAAAATACCCGTTTGAAGAAAAATACATATACACATATATACACACATACACTTGAGGTAACATTACTAGATTTGAACCTACGATGTGTACCTGAAGCTAACTCACCTGCTGGCAATGATTTGATTCCATTCCTTGGGATACCAGCTCATTATGGGCTTATGGACTCATTAAAAACATTACCCAATGGACCCTGTAGGGTCAGGCTTTTATCAGGAAGCCAAAGGAAAGAAGGAAGAGGGAGTTTCCTATCTTGAAGAATGTTGGCATTTTCTTTTGTTGTTTTTACAAATGACTTAATCCTCACTAAACTTTGAATTATGCTGTTGCTTACAAACACAGTAACAGTTATAGCCTAGATCAGGAGTGGGCAACTGTGCCCCTTTTACAACCTGTGGACTCCAACTCCCAGAATTCCTGAGACAGCTTGGCTTGGCTGTCTCAGGAATTCTGGGAGTTGAAGTCCACAGGTTGTAAAAGGGCCACAGTTGCCCACCCCTGGCCTACATAGTTTATAGGGAATGGGAAAATGGGCAATTCAGCTCTCTTCAAGATGTTATGAACTGTAAATACATGTGTAAATGGAAAAAAAATATTTTCCCTACCTCAATCAGGGATTATGAAATATTTCCTAATATTTTCTTTTTAAATGGTATAAATAAAATTACTTCTTAAATGCCATATAAGCAAAAAATGTACAGATCATCACAGTTTCTCTGCACAAATAATTATATAATACAATTGCTAATATATATTTCTTACTCCAGGGTTTATAGTAGTCACAAAGGAAGATGCTCTTGCACTTGCTTGCTCTTACTAAGTTCTGACCTAGAGATGGTTGTTTTGGCTCTCCACTAGGCCCTAATGTCCTGGAACTGGCCAGAAGCTGGAAGCAGCACTCATTTATTTAGAGTTAAGTTATAAAGAATGATTAAAAAATATTATTGTCTATATTGCAAGTCTTTGTCTCCCAAGTCTATTTCTTTCCGCAAAAATATTAGAAAACCCTATATTTTTTTACTGTTTTACAAATTTTCCAGAACCTTTACATTTTTAGGTCAAACTGAAGGAAGGATAATTTATTTACTGTTGTCTAATACCAAGTATTGGAAAAGTTGAACATTTGGTCTGAAATATAAATGCCCTCCCTTTTTGTGGTTAATTATGAGAGTAGGAGAGTAAAATTCCAGCCTTACACAGCATATAAGTAGATTTTTTTTCTCCATTTAGGTCTATGTCTATCTTCTTTCCTTGAATAATTCTTACAGAACCTTTTTTTTGTTTTTTGGCTGAGGAACAGTATAATCCTGCCAGGGAAGCTTGCTGTGGATTTTGGGACATGTTCTCTTGTGTGTGCTTTACTTGGCCGGGCCGTGATTAGGTGTTGCATTCACCATCAAATTAAGTGACTAGGGGAGAGCACATGGCATTCTCTCCTGGGCAAGTTCAGTAATGATGTGCAATCTGTCAGCTTCTCCATCTTGCCACAGAACACTGTCTGCAAACCACTGAACTAAACTATCACATTTAACTACCAGTCATTTATAATTTAGTTGGTTGCCAATTTCATGGAAGGGGCCCACAGGAATCTGAAGGACATATTTGTCTCACTCAACATGCAAGAGGCATTTGTCTTGGCACTCCGTGGCAGAATTACTCCAGGAGGCAAAATTACTTAAGACATTATCTCACTCAGCATGCAAGAGGCATTTGTCTTGCCACTCCAATGCAGTATCAGTGCTGGTCTGAAACTGAAGCAAAACCCTTTATTATTCCTGGCACCATTCCATCTTTCAGGAAAAGGAAAAAAATAAAATAAAATCCCACAATCCTATCTGCCATTAAAATGATCCGAGTTATATTCTCTACAGAAAGTGCATAATGCAACAAGATCCGCAAATGAATGATATATTGCTTGCACACAAAGCATTAAAAAAATCAGGCACATTTGAATCTGTTGCACTATGACTATAAGTAAAACACTGTAGACCACGGGTGTTAAAGTCGATCACATCATATGATGTATTGTGACATATTGCCACTTTCTTTGTTTTTGAGGAGCTGGGGTGGGCGTGGCTTGTGTGTGATGCATCTGGCCCACAGGCCGCCAGTTTGACACCCCTGCTTTAGGCCATTTACCTACCACTGAAGTAAACTGCAATGCAATATTACAAATGCTAAGAAATAGCCAGTAAAAAGGATTGTAAAAATGGCTGTAATTCTGAACTAAATCACATATTTGAATGCAGGTCAGATGTTCGTGAGCACATTCTTGCCAATAAATATATAAGCAATATCAATAGCCATACAGTTAATTTATTACTGCATTGTACTTTTGAGGAGCCTTCTGTTTGCTCTTTGTTGGTTTTAAGAATGTTTTAGTTCGGATGGTTTGTCTGGCTTTATCTGTTTTTATGGATTTTTTTTTTGGTTTTGTATGCCACCAAGAATCCACTGGAATTGGGTGGCTATAAGAAATATGAATAACCAAATAGCATAAACAAGGCAGATTGTTATTTTCTGAAGTCATGCAGAGAGAAATGTAAAATGGTACCCTTTTTAAGATAACGTTTTCTGACACATCTCCATCTTAGAATCAACTACTTAGCCTTGAATTTAACCATACTTCAAGAGATGTAATTATGTGCCCTGAATTTTACTCTTTTAGTAGATACCATGTGCAGGCAGAAAATATTAGGTACCTTAGTAAATGTCACGAACTTTTTTATGGTTGATAGTATTTTATAGCTTGTGACCTTGTACTAAGACATTGTTTTATATACAGGATAAGATCTATACAATTGTAATATGTTATAATTATGCACAAGCTACTGAAGAGTTTCTTCAGGATAGACAACTTTACTCCCAAGTTTCTTGGTTGCTTCCATACAGCAATGTAATTATTATCTTAGTTTACAGGTATATGGGTTTGTAAAAGGAATTCTGTTCCTACTTGAGCGGAAATTCTATTCCATTTCTGCAGCATGAATCTATTTGCAAAGAGCAAAAAAGTTCCACAAGGGAGCATTTCCCAGAACAGATAAGAAAGGAGACTCTATCCTCAGAGAGCAGCATGTGGAGCTGAATGAACACAGTTGCAGCTAAGATCTTCTCCCATGGTGATTCAAGTATTTAGTTTCCTAGTTCCAGTGACATGATTTTTACTAGGTTTTTTTATTAATTTATTTGCTTCCCATCTTGCACTTCAAGGCTATATCGAGCATCTTTACTATCTTTTCAAAAAACATCAATTTATTATCTCCAACACCCAAGCAATGCAAAGCAATTAATTAAGTGTGGAATTGTAGATGAAGTAAGAGAAAGAGTACAGGGGGAAGTTGTTTCATCAACAACCGTTGATGTTAATTTTAGAAGCATTAAAAATGTTTCCAGATTTAATAGGTTAAGTTGCTGTCAAAACTGCATTAATTTTAAAGGATTCTGATCCAATCAAAATGTCTAACACAGAATTCACTGAAAATTTTAATTTAAAGGGCTCCTAATTGTAGGTTTTAACCTACAATTTCTTGGAGCAGAAAAAATAAGCTTTTGAATAAGAGATTGGAAGAGTTAAGTGGAGTATTTGTACCTATATTTTGGCAGGTTAGATATTAAGAGTTAAGGTTTCTGCCAGCCATTCACAAGAAGTTGGCTTCAATAGAATTCTACATGTTTTAAGTTTCAGCAAATACTGAGAGGTTATGTGTTGGTGAGGACTGGCATTTTCCTTCATGATGTGTAAGCCAATTATGCAACATGTGCTGCAGCAACCAGAAGCACCCACAGAATACTTACAGTGATGGGGGTAAAAATGTGAAAATGTTGAGCATGATCCAAACCCCACCCCTTTCTAATATATTTTTTAAAAAATTTGATTTATATGCCGCCCTTCTCCGGAGAGTCAGGGCGGCTTACAATGTGTTAAGCATTTGCTAATATGCTTTGCATGCGTATAAAAAGAGTATAGGAGCCCTGTTGGTGCAGTGGTTAGAACGTGGTATTGGAGGCAAGTTCTGCCCATAGCCTGGAGTTCGATCCTGAAGGGGCTCAAGGTTGATTCAGCCTTCCATCCTTCCGAGGTGGGTAAAATGAGGACCCAGATTGTTGGGGAAATATGCTGACTCTGTAAACTGCTTAGAGAGGGCTGTAAAGCACTGTGAAGCAGTATATAAATCTAAGTACTATTGCTATAGGATGCAAATAGTATAGTTATGCCTGCCATCTTGATTTTTTCTACTTCCCTGATGGATGCCCCTGCTTCTCTATATGATAATGTAATTATTATTTTTTCTCTTACACAGAAATTCTACACCATGGCCAACTCTCACATTATAATAGGAGCAGATCTATATTCAAACTTGAGCACGTTCTCATTTCTGTGTGCGAGATAATCTTATTTGTCTTCTTCCTAAAGCATGAATCTGAACAATACATTAGAAAGCAAAGGGTTTTCATAGCAAATGACCAACAAAAAAGAGAAGTCACTTTATATGTAAAACATGGTTTAATTCTATTCCATTGTTATAACATGTAAAAATAAACCTCAGATCTCACTATTATATCTGAGTATATTAAAGGGAAAAATCTGAGAATGATCAGAGAATGATCATTCATTTGTTCAAAAAAGGAAAATAAGAGAGTAGGCAATCCATTTTAAATAGAAGGATTCTAAAAAATTGGGCATGGCCATTTTAGTTCACCTTTGTGGCATGGCTACAACTCCATGGGATATCTATGGCTCATTTGTATCGCTAAATGCTGTGGACTAAAATTTTCCCCTGGTTGAGATGAATAAAATTAAGCGACATGCAACTTTCTGGAATTTACGCTAGCAGATTAGATGCTCCCTCTTTACTTACTCAAGTTGTAGCAAGTCTTTGAAATGAATCATCTCCACAATGACCTGGACATTCTCTTTGGCTGCAGAGCAGAGATCATGTTTCTGATAACATTCTCGCTGTAGCTGGAACACCATTTCTTTGATTGCAGGACATTTGCGACTGATACAACTAAACTTGTGCCGCAAGGCATGTGCCTTGCATCTCAGGGCATCTTTAATGAAGGATTTCCCCTGAGAATGAGAAAAGAAGAAAAAGCACAACTAAACTTATGTCCATAAACCATATGTCTTGTGATTCATCTCCATTTTTCAATTAATACCTGGAAAAGAAGTTGCTTTATTTACTGTTAAAAGTTCTAAGACACTAAGGTGTTAAACTCGATTGCGTCACGTGATGTATCACAATGTTTTTTACTTTTGTGGAGCCGGGGTGGACGTGGCCTATGTGTGACAGACACATCCGGCCTGTGGGCTGCCAGTTTGACAGGCCTGTTCTAAAATAACAAATATTTTGCTCTAATCCTAATCAGGATCCTAATTAATCCTCCAGGGAAAGACTGAAGGCAAACGAGGTCCAGGCAGAAGAACATCATGGCTTCAAAACCTAAGGGACTGGTTTGGACAAAACTCAGCAGCACTTTTTCATATGGCTGTTGACAAAAATAGGATTGCCAACATGATTGCCAACGTCCGATGACGGATGTGGCACAAGAAGAAGAATCCTAATCAGACAATTTCCTTCTTTGGTTGTAGCAGGTGCTCTGTGTCTGCTAGACATTTAATCCTCATTAATATCTAGCCTCCCTTTACTGACGCCTAAACTGAGCAATTCTGAAAGTAGAGAGGGGAAAAAGAGGTTACAGGCCTATAAAATCTGCTCCCTGAAAGCAACCCCTCTGTGAGGCAAATTCTGGAGACCATCTTTACCACTTGGGCTCCTTGTGGCAGGAGGAGGAGGGCCCCTGGTGTTGGGGGTAATTAATGAGGACAGTTTCAATCAACACAATTCTGTTTTTTAACATAAAAATAGAATTTTATTTAATTTTTAAAAATATCCTGCCTTTATTTTTTTTACAAGTAAGGCAGGAAACATATCCAACACACCTTATTCCTCTTATTTTTCCCACAACAACAAACCTATGAGGTGAGTTGGGCTGAAACAGTGTGACTGGCCCAAAGTCAACTTTCATGGTTGAGGCAAGACTAGAACTCATGGTGTCCTGGTTTTTAGTCTGGTGCTGCAGCCACTAGACCAACCTGGCTCTCTTTTAATATCTTCCATCCTGCAAATTCTAATTAGCCAGCAATACAAGAATTTCAGAAGACGGTGTAGGACAGAGCAGAACGTTGGAGAGTTTTCATGGGATTTGGATATGCTTCCCTGTAACATATCCTGGTGAGGACTAGTCAATTCAAAACCAATGCATTAACTTTGTGGCAATATAGAGTTCTCATTCTCATGTCAGCAGAAGTCAGCCTAAAATCTCTTCATGAGACTGTGAGACTATGTTGTGATGAAGTTTGGTACAAAAATACCAATCTGCCTTTACTATTATTGTTGTGCTGTGACATCCTTCTGGAAACTGACCTGTCAAGCTAATGTTACTTATTATCCTATGTGTAGTGTCTTCATTATTTGAACAGTCTGAAATCAGGCAGTAGCATGTAACATTCTTTGGGCAATTGTCGTTGCCAACAGTTACACTGTCCTAGTCCCCTGCTTGCCATCCGTCATGCCTAGCAGGTGAAAGCAACCCCTTCAACTTTTCACAATGTATTTGAGTGATCCTGTCCTTATTACTGTGGAAAATCCAATTAATACAATATTGCCAGCCACAACCAAGTAAGCTACCAGGAAGCACACTGCAACCCCAATCCCATGCTACTGAAGAGTGTCTAGGAAGAGATCCTGATTTTATATTGTGTGAGAGAACTCCTGCCCAAATGAGGATCTCCCAAATCTACTTCACACAACTTTCAATGATGCAAATGATGCAAATATGAAGAGAGAATGCAAGGAGAACAAAAATCCAACGTGTCCATGCCACTTGTTTGTTCTCTTCAGGACTCTCCTTGCTCACTTTCACTGTTTGGCTAGGCTTTTCAGAGTTACTCAGACAAACTGGAAATACTTCATTCATCATGATTATGGAGGGAAATGAGGCTCTGTTGAAAAATTGAGTTTTCTGAGTTTAAAGCTTCATCACAACCTGAAGCTAAAAAGATTCCACAGTTCTGATGAAACCTGTGAGTTGATTTACCAATGTGCAAAGCAATCTCGCTATTAGTTTACCTCTTTGAGGCTTGCGCCCTCCCCATCCCACCCTGGGTTGGGTCAAATCAAGACCTGGACAGGGATTTATTTTCCTCTCTCTGAAGAGAGAAAAACCTTGATAATGGTAATTGGCAAGAACCCGATTCCAATATTAAATCGGTAGCACAACTAGTATCACAGTATGCTCTTGAAAGATAGCCAGTATATAATGGATGGATTCACACACTGCACAATGCCATAATAAGGTTTGTTCATGGCTTAGCATAATTATGTGGGCCCATCCATTATAGAAATAATGATAAAGGATCTTTGATATACTGTATCATAAAGCTTTTAGCTCTTAGAAAGATGATTTTAAGGTATATTTCATCCATTAGAGGAATCATGGAAGTTGGAGGAAGTAAAAGGAGACTAAAATGATTTTCTAGTTGTCAGGAGATGGGGATTTGTTATCCTAAGTATCTTCTTCCCCACTCTGGAGGTTAAAGCAATGTGGCTTTTATCTTCAGGGGCAGAACCCTATTTGTGTATGGAAATAAACACACATGAATACAGTGATGCTTCCTGATGAAAAAGTGTTATCCTATGCATTGACGAAGTCCATTAAATTCAGTAAGATTTGTTGATAAGTAAGCGTGTATCCTAGGACCGAGGTTCTATCTCTTGTAATTGTTAAAGTCTATTTCTCTCTTTCTCATTTTTTCCCTTTTGCCCATGACCATTCAGATAAACTTTTGAATGCTAAAAAAGATCATCCCAAAGCCCAACTCACAGCATTCTGATTTGAATGGAGATTGGTTGGAATATTTTTTTTTAACTTTTGCAAAAGATTAGGAAGAAGATGGAAGCCTTAAAAGATTACAAAATGTCTGATTCGCGTCTAACTATACTTGTCATGGATGCAAGGAAGAACTAAGCAAAGTACTAATTTAACTTCACCTCCCTTTGCTGCCAATTCTGAAAGTCAGTCATACTTCAGTGATAAACTATAATGTTCTGAATAACTGGATAGCAATTAGTTTTGCTGAATAGTTGATGGTATCCCTTTTTTAAAGTTTCCACTCATCCTAGCTAATGAGCAGGCAGTCACTAATCAATAAGACATACCGATAGAAGCTAACTTTGTTTTTCCTATCAAATTTTATGGCAATATAATTTTATCTGTTAAACTGGAACTTCTTCTGTTGGTCCTTCATTGCTTAAACAGATTAGATTCAATTTGTTTTTGTTTTATAAAACTACCATACATTTGAAGGGAAGGATACTCTCTGCTAATCAGTGACAAAATACTTTATTCGTTAGTTTGGTTTTGTAATAGCAAAGGAAGAAATTTCAATATTATTTGGAGTATGAGAGATTATTATTTTGTCATAGAAACGGTCAGCAAGAATATGAAAAATATCAAGTGACACTTGAATAAACATACTGTTACTTAGATTTCTTTACTTTAAAATATTATGGGATAATGCGCTATGGACTTAAATGAAAATCCTATTTTGACAAATGTATATTATAATATAAAATGAAGTCTTGTAAAGAAAGAAAAGGCCAAAGCAGAATTTTTTTTCCAAAGCTTTTCAAAACAGTAATGAGAAGATAAAAAATTCCTTTCAATTTGGAAGGAAACCTTCACTGTTGCATTTCCGGAAAAGCAAATAGAAGATTTCTAGAAAAATCTGTTTTTAAGCCCCAAGTTTAAACTTTTAATTACCAATGCACATTCTGTAAATTGCCAGTCAAGCCAAATACATCTGATCAATGTAATCTTTTTGTTCTCGTTGCTGAAATGATAAAATTGTTGTACAAGGCATAATAACAGGATGCTTCAACAATGTACAAACAGTTTGGAGAGAAAATGAAAGAGGCAAACTTAATATCTGATTCTTGGTAAGGAATGTACTTCGATGTTAGTGGGCTGCCAAGGAATCACTAGAATAAAGCAGCAGAGATAGTTACTTCCAATGACACTGGCTCAGCACTCATCTGCAGAAATGAATTTAACTGATCATATAAAGGAAGTCAGAGATAATGTTGAGCAAAAGAGAATCCCTCACTTGGCGTCCTTGGACTAAGGCATCCAGAATAAACACCCCTCCCCTTCCATTTTAATGTACTAAGAAGCACCGAGGGCACAGTCACTTTACTAACGTTTCAATTTCAGGACTTAAGATAAATTGGAAATCCCAGCACTTCAAAGCAGCAAGAGCAAGATGACATGAAAGGATGACCTACTGTTATATCATTGCATTATCATCCAGAATTAATTTGTTTAAAATGTCACTATGGCTTGGATCTGCCCTACTTACTAATTTGTAACTGAAACAATGAGCTTTCCAAATCAATAGCTCTTCACCTAAATTCACAGGGCATCTACTATATTGTTTAGGCATGTGCTGAATTATTTTCTCTTCATCCAGATTTCCTCTGTGTGAATGTTATGAATGGTTTTATAGTCCTTTCCCTCTTATAGTGTTTTTCATATTATTTGTATTGATTGTACTGTTTTAATATTTCTAATTGTAAAATACCTAAGAAAGAGGCTGCATGAAACATGAAACAGTAAGGTCAAGTAACTAAGGAATATCAATAAAGGAGAATATTTGTAGCTCACGGTTGACTTGAGGGGTCCTTAATGCTCTCTGAGCTTGCTTATTTTCTTGCAGACATTTCATTACCCTAACTAGGTAACACCATCAGTACTAGTTAGGGTAATGAAATGTCTTCGAAAAAATAAGCAAGCTCAGAGAGCACCGAGGACCTCTCAAATAAGGAATACTGGATGGGAATAAGTATCCATTAATCCAAACCTCTTGTTTCCACTGGATCAGTGACCTATCCTTAACACAGGAGACAAAGTGCTTTTCAAACCCAACAAGTTTTCTTTAGCAATGGGATTTTCTACTGTGTAGTGTTTTCGCAATTATTTATGGGCTGAAAATTATTTCCTGTATACATTAACCTACCCTCAATCAACACTTTGCTACGTGTGTATTTGGTATTTCACATACAGTAGTAGAATCACAGTGTTGTATAACTCTGTAATATCCATTCTTGTTTTATCTATAGATCTAATGGCTTCTTATGTGGAATTATGATTTCACTGCAAGGGCTTGAAAGAGAGCTGCAGTATATGTTAGGGCACTAAAAGAGGGTTGAATAGGTGATAAAGGTCAGATAAGTTAATAAAGAGAATATTTACAAAGAATTAATACTCTACATAAGTATATTCTGTTCAAGGAAGTTTAAAATCTGTCTGGTTGCTCTGTTTGATTAGCTAGTCATTTTCATAAAAGTCCACACTATTTTATACTTTCACATTAGCTGATTCTGGGTCTAGTTGTCTATGCCTCAAATTATTGCATTTGCTTACCTGGGCATCAAACTTTCCAGCATTATGGAGAAATGTCATGCAGATCTCATGCAAACCTCGAATCTCACAAGAGTTGTTTTCAAAGCATTCAAATACACTGCAGCCAACATCACCAGCACTGACCAGGCAGTGCTGGATTTCAGCTGAAAATGAACAGTCACCACAGTAAATGTCTACAACTATTATATATACCTGTAGGCAAAAGAATACTTGTTAACAACTTCTTCATTTCAAAAGGGGAACACAGGGGTAATGTAGGAGATTATTGCTTTGCAAACAATTATATAATCAGAAGAGAAAGTCACTGTTAAATCCATATCTGAACTAATTTAATGACACAAGTCAATATGATGCAGTAGTTTAAATTATTACACTGAACTGGAGAGACAAGTTAAAATCTCCATCCAGGCCACAAAAATCACTGGGTAGCCCTGAAAATCCCTGAATAAACTCTCATTTTAATCTACCTCAAAGGATTGTTGCATAGATAAATGGAATGAGATTCAAGTATACTTTTTTGATCATCATCATCATGTAAGGAAAGGTAATTAAAAATATTGGGTTGATTTGATCGTCATGAATTAAGGTCCAAAATTCAGTATTAGAATTCAATATTATAATTGAATTATTAGAATTCAAAGAAAACTGCATCTGAGAAAGTGATGCAACTATTTATTGGGTCTTCTCATCTGAACCAGCGTCCCCAAATACTTCTTTTAAAGTAAGCGCATCTTTAAATTAGTGAAATCATTCACAAAGTTTCAGATAAATCTGCAGGTCAGAGCTCCCCACCCCTAATTTTCTGGTTTCCTTGACTACTCTTGAAAATGGATTATATTTTTTTCTATTCTATGCATATTTACCAGCATACAACAACATTGTGTTAAATGAGTTAAATATCAAAGTGAAACCCACATCATTGACAACAGTAATAGAAAAATTAGACATTCTACAACCACCTCCTCCAAGGATATTCAAGCCCCAGAGAGTTCCTTCTAATACATTACAGAAAACAGTAATGTCTAAAAAGGCCAAGTACAAGCCAATCCTGGGATTAGTTGCATAGAAATAGAATACTGCAAAAGAAATAATGCAGCCAACCTCTCCTTTAAAAGGGGGGGGGGAGAGAAGAGAGATCCTACCAGAGCCTTAAAAAGCAAAAGGAGATCTTGCCTTCTTTTCAACGAGGCTGCCTGCGCTGTTTTATACAGAAAGGGGAAGCTGCACATAGCGAAGAGGGAAAGAGTTTCTTTGTCCAGCGTTGTTTAAGTGTGCAGCTTGGATTTAGGTGCAGAGCCCAGTTTTTAGCTTTACCCTGGCACCGGGTCGGATGCAAGAGTTCCGATCACATGCCTTGGCCTCCGCGGGCTGAGCTTTGCCTGGAGGGGTGATTCACGTGTGGACGCAGTTGTCTACTCCTGGCATCAGCAGCGTCTATATATCCTGCTTGCCCGGTAGCTTCAAAAGACTTGGGCAGCCAGCGCCCCTACTGTGAACAAGTGGGGAATAACCCGGGAAAGGGGAGGGGTCACCCTAATGTCTTTCCATCTATGATAGGCAAAGGACCCGATAAGATTATTTTTTTTAAAAAGCAAAAAGGATGGGAGAAAATACCTCCCCCTCCCCAGTTGGATGCCCTCGCTTGCAGCCGAAAAAGGATTTTCAGGACTTTTGTTTCGCGCCTAGTCACCTCTGAACGTCTTCCCCCTTCTGCATTAAATGCTAAACCTGAGCCGACGCCTGCGCTGCCCCCCCCTCTCCTTCTGCCTTCCTTTTATTTAAAGGATGGGAGCCGAGCAGTTTAAGACATGCAAAAACAAACACAGTTCTTGCAAGCTGCCCTTCTAAATCATGGGCTTTTATTTTAAAGCAGAGCCAGAGAGAGCGGAGGGAGCACTGTCCTTCCGATGAAGATGATAATCTGGTTTAACTTTCACTACGGGATTGCATTCCCTGTGGGACGACTTTCTTTGCCTAGTTAAAAAGATGGAAGTGTTGCCTCTATACAGCAGTTCAAATGGTGGAACACGTGCTTGGCTAGCCAGAGCTTCCAAGCTGCTGGAAGCACTTCTATTCCCTTCACCGACTTCTGCTTGTCACTCCCAGCGCCTATATATGAACGATGCTTATCACCTAGCGACGCAAACTCCTATCTCAGGCACACGCTGCACTAATGTGTAGCGTTATGTATCACTAATATAAAATCCCCGCACACCTGGCTCTGGACTTAAAACTCAGCTTCCTCGCCTCAGAAACTGAATCATGCACGGATGAGTTTTGATCCTCGAAAGAAATAACCGCGTACCTGAATTTTGCAGAGACATCCGCCCTTTTTGCTGAGGAGCTCTGTCCTGGGCACCTTCCGGAGGATGCGTGGCTTCGGTGCCCACTACCGCATCCACACTTGCAAAGACCAACGCCAGGGTCACCAGTTTCCGTAAGCACTCTGCACACATGGTCCTTGTGTGTACCCAAACCGCGCCGACTTGGAGGCCGCCAAGACCCCCCTTCCCCGCCCTTCTCTCTCGGCTTCTTTTGCGAAAGACCCAGAATCTCCTACCGTCCCAACTACGCAGAGGCTGCGCGAAGCAAACGGCGCTGATAGTAGTACTGAAAGTGGCCCGGAAAGGCAACGGATGGTTCCTCAAATACGGCTCAAAGCTCGGGTGTCACTTGAATGAAGGAGTCCAGCAGATGTTGTCCGCCAACCCGACCAACCGGAGCCTCTATTTCACTCTGACACCACGTTCGGGGGCGTGGCCTCCCCCCCAAAGTATTACTACGCACCCGAGGGAGCCGCGGTTATATCTCGGGATGCGAAGTTGCTGCATCAAACTGCAGGTTGCAAAAGCAAGAAGCGGCGGTCGCGTTTAAGTAGATCGCGTCAAAGCCCACGGCTTTGCATCGAATGCAAGATCGACGGGAAAAGCTACGCTATTGCAGTGGATTTGGAGTGATTTAAATCCCCCCTCCATTAATTTAGTGTACCCCCCGCCCCCCCCTGTACGTAAGAAGACGACCATACCCACCGGTGATGCTAGCAAAATAAAATGAATTGCCAAGGTAGACAAAGGCCACTATTTCAGGATTAATTTCTTTAGGTAAATAGAACATTCCCTTGTCTTGTGTAACAACACACTTGAATTAGTACTAATAGCAAAAGGCGCGACCTGGGGGTAGGTTGCGAAGATCCAATTTCGAATGAGACAGAGCATATGGTGGCGAGAGAAGCCTAAAGCATTTGCAATCTGCTCTGAAAAGTGGAAGGGAAAGACGGCCAAGATTTGATTCGAGATCCACTTGAGTTTCTGGATCCGACCCAGAGGACTCTTAAATTGGGGAACGCGCGCGCACAATACTCCTGCACGCCCAGGCTGATGATAAGAGCAGCCTTTTTAATGATCTGGATTAATTTTCTTTACAACTTAGTTTGAGCACGAGCCGTTTCTAACTGCCTAGCTAACTCCTGCTCCCTTCCCTGAAACGAGGGTGGGAGGGTTTGTGCCTTTTTTACTGAATGGAAAAATAAAGATGGACAATGTTCCAATGGGGGGAAAAAAAGAGTTGGGTTTGTTTGCTTCGTACTGTACCTTCTCCATCCCCGATTTTACCGCGCTCCCGGTCACGAGGATTTCAATTTGCAAGCCTGCGGGTTTCTATTGGGGAGGGGGGCGGGAACGGATGAAACCTTTTCTCCTGTAACTCCACCGCAGTCGTTGCATCATCTCTGTTTTATACTCACGAATTTGCTTTAAAAAAAAAAAAAAAAGTCCTGCCCCCCTTCCCCCCCCCCCCCCCCTCCCAGTCCGCATGGAACCTTGAAGCAATTGAAACCTCTTCTAAGGACGGTGAAGTGGGTCCCACTTCGGGCAAACCTTCCGGCCTGAGTCATCCGGCGCGCCGGCTAAGTGCAAACTAGCGATATCATCGAATCAAATCAAGCGACCACCTCCTCAATTGCTTAAGGGAGGAAAGGCGGGAAAAGCAGGTGGCGGCGTTGAATGGGCTGCGGAGTGTGTGTGTGTGGGGGGGGGGGGGAAACGCCGTTTTAACCCTCTCCCGCCTTCCCTGCATTGAAGCTGCGGCAACCGACTTGGGAAATTTCATCAGACGCGCCACCAACTTCTTGCCTCCAGCGCTGTACTGCGAAGGAAAGGCGACGCGGACTCCCCGGGCCTGTCTGGCTAGTGCGAGCGAAGCCGAGAGCCGAAGAGGAGGAGGAGGAGAAAGAGCAGACAGCTTGGTCCCGGGCGCTCTAGGTTAGGGCCGGGCCAAGCTGACTTCCCGGAGGAGGAGGGGCGGCGCAGCGCAGGGAGGAATGTCTTCAGCTGCCGCCGCCGCCGCCGCGGTTCTCCTGCTCCCAGCTGTCAAAATGCAGTTGAGAGAATCCACTCACACCTCCAGCAGTAAGCGGTCTTCTGGGAGGAAGACGTGACACTGCGCGGCAGGGCCATGGAGGTCCCTTCTTCAACCAACTCCCCCCCGACCCCTTTCCGTCTCATCCAGCGCCAGGCATAGAAACCACGCTTCCTTTCAAGCCGCCTCCTGTACAAAGCATCACAAAGTTTCTTTGTTAAGATTTTTTTTTCAGGCCCTGCGTTGTGGAGAGAGAGAGAGAAAGAAAAAAAGGGGAGGGTAATTCAGGAGAAGATTATTTTGTGGGCTTTGCCTTTTTTTTTTTTTTTAATGATGGATCCTGGGTCATTCCTTCCAACAGTTACCATGCCTTTCGTGGCAAAGACTTCTCAAGGGCCATTAAAAAGCTGAAAATAATCGTTGTATGCCACAAGCCAGAGACACTCAGAACAGTAACCATTTAAAACAATAGACAAAGCCTGCAGAGCGCAACATTTAATTAAAAGCGAGCCTGGAATAGAATTTTTAAGACACTTCTGAATGGTAGTAAAGATGTGTTGTTGGTTTTTTTGCCTATGGGGAGGGGGTATTAAAAAAAAACATTGGGCTGCCACCATTGAAAAAGTCCTGTGTTCAGTAGATTAACATATTCTAATATAGTTCCCCAGTCACAGGTATGCATGACTGAATTGAAAAAAATATTTTGAGAAATGGATTTATGGGTTTAACCAGAGAAAAGAAAGAGACTCACAAAAATGAAGGTGAAGTTTTCTATAAAATGCCCATCAGTTGTTTACTCTGCTAAGTAGGCTTAGGTATGGATTCATTTACAACTTGGTGCTTTCACCTGGTTAACTGAAAACACAAAGACCTTGCATTGCTACTGAATTAAAATGCTGTTGAGTGGGTACCAAATAATGCTAGCATGAAATTGGCTCTCCCATTGTGTCCTTTGGTCATTGCCTCTGCTAAATCACTGACAAATGGTATCTTGATTCCACTGATACATCCACTATCATCAAGGTGATTTCTAACTTTGTTGCCTTATCTTTTCAGCACATAGGGATGGCTCATGGCTATTTGCGTGCTCTCTTTCAATTCAGCTCACTTTCTGGGCCTTTGCCCATTACTGATAAAGGAGGGTATTCCTCATGCATGACTAACTGTGTACAAACATGCTCCGACAACATATTTTTCCTTTCCTGTCTCCTGATATTGCTTTGATCTGAAGTGAAATGTTTTTAAGTTGTCTAGCTATAACTCTTGTTAAAGTAATGGTTTTTCCCTCAAGCTAATGGCTTCTAACAGTAGCCATAATTTGTCTAAAATCTTTTATACTTCACCATTTTGGAAATTAAGTCAGGTAATGAGTAGTGGATGGGATCAAAACAGCTGACTGGATGTTTCAGGCTAATGTTGGAGTGCTCCTTCTTAACTTTTCCCTGATTAACCTCATGTATAGGTAGTCCTCTACTCATGACCACAATTGAGCCCCAAATTTTTCTTGTTAAGTGAGACATTTAGTGAGTTTTGCCCCATTTTATGATCTTTCTTGCCACAGTTAAGTGAATCACTTCAATTTATAAGTTAGTAACCCTGTTGTTAAGTGAATCTGGCTTCCTCATTGATTTTGCTTGTCAGAAGGTCGTAAAAGATGATCACATGTCCCTGCACCCGTCATAAGAGATCACTTACGAGATTGCCGTCTGCTACCAATAGCCTCCCACCAGCCAGTGCGCTCCCACAGAGAGGGACTCCTCAGGGTACTGTTGGTGAAACAATGTCGACTGGCGACACCCAGGGGGAGAGCCTTCTCTGTGGGGGCACTCGCCTTCTGGAACGAATTGCCCCCGGAGATACGGATGATCCCTGACCTGCGCCCCTTTCGCCATGCCCTCAAGACATTTTGTTCCAACAAGCTGGGTTGGCCTAAACATTAATTTTAATGGGTTGTTTGTTTTAATGGTTGGGGCCAAATTATTTAATATATTTTTAAATGGTTTTCAAATTTTATATATGTATTTGTTTTTATCTTTGGCTGTGCACCGCCCTGAGTCCTTCGGAAGAAGGGCGGTATAAAAATTTAATTAATAATAATAATAATAATAATAATAATAATAATAATAATAATAATAATATAATAATAATAATAATAATAATAATAATAATAAGTTAGTTGCCAAGCACTTGAATTTTGATCACATGATAATGGGGATGCTGCAAAGGTCATTAAATGAAAAATGACCATCAGTCACTTTTTTCAGCGCTGTGGTAACTTTGAACAGTCACTAAACAAACTGTTGTAAGTCGAGGACTACCTGTAGTTGACTCCAAAAAAGCTAAACCCAGTGCTGACAACCTGTCAGAATGCTTAGCACACAGAACTGTAAGTACTTTAGCTCTGTGGCCCTTCCTGTTTTTGTGCAGGCCTAAAGGAACAAAGGACTGCAATGATAGGACAGCCCACCCTGCCCCTTTGCCTCTGAAGGATAAAACATAGAGAAATTCAGAATCTGGCATTTATTGTCTTTGTAAAGAAAGGAAATGAAGGAGAGGAGAATCTTAAATTGGTGTTTGGGATTTATTTATTTTCACAATTCCAGTCTTCTTTTTTTAACCTTTATCCACCTTATATCACGACAGGATGGGTATATGAGGATGGACACAGGAGAGAGCCAGGTCTTGAGGGAAAATCCTGCTGCAGTTCTATGATTGGCAGATTTTCTGGCTGGCTGGCTACATACAGAACAGAGGAAAGCAAATGGGAGAATCAACCAAAACTAGCTGTACTTATGGTATGCTGTGCACACATACAGCATTGGGATATCACCTTCCAGTAGTGAGTTACTTCAGACACAGTAGAAGCAGAATAGAGATTGGCTGGCAGATAGCAAATTTCATGCTGTCCCGCCCCCCCCCCCCCCCCCCCCCCGCTGACTCAATAATGAATGGGTAGCACTTTAATTCAGGAAGTTGAAAAGCTCTGAACTAGCTATACTGGAACAATAGTGGTATTTTTTTACCTTTCAGCCAATGCCATCTTATCATATCTTCAATATTTTCAAAATGCTAATGCTTTGTCACCTTTTATTTACGTGCAAATCTCTCATCTTTCTTCTAGGAGGTCAAGGTTTGGGAATGCATCCAAAAATGCTACTGTCATTCCAATGGAGCAATTGACAATGTAGAGTCTTTCTCCACTGCTGAACCGCAGGCCATCTGTCTTTGAATCATCACAATATAATAATATATTTAATAAGAATAAAATAATGCCAACAGTAATACTGTTCTTATAATCAATTTCTATCCTTACCCTACTGCATTTCTTCAGGTTCACTTTTAAATGGTGAGTACACCAGTTGTAATAGCTAAGTGATTTGTTTTCCTGGCTGAATTTGTTACATTCCTTTTAAGTGCTGTATAATACCGCAGAGCAGGAAAACATCACCCAGTTAGGGCACCATGGCAGAAATAGGAGTTAACCACCTCCTGTTCAAGATGGAGAGTGGCAAAACATAACAGGTTTTGCAAACCTTGAGTCTAACCCTGGAT